CCCCAAAACCCCAAAACCCCAAAACCCCAAAACCCCAAAACCCCAAAACCCCTATTGGGCTAAAATAAATTGAAATATTTATCATGGCTTTTAAAGTTAAGAAAAAGACTCCACTTCATACGAGCTTGAGGCTTGATAGTTACCTCAGAGAGCTTAAGTAAATCCATTCTTATATTTTAGTCTTGATCATGACCTTAGAGACCAGAAACATGGGTAGCTTTGAGATAATTTTGTAGTCGACTGTATTATGAGGATACTAGCAATAAGAACTTATATATTTCATCCTTTAAATACTCAGGAGATTTGAGAATTAGTAGAAAGAAGAATGATATTGAACAGAATAAGATTCGATACGGCTTTAAAAGTATGTCAGTGTTGTCTTTTATTCCTTGAGGAATCTATCTGAATTTAGGAGAGAAATAAACAGAATAATGACATTAATCCAGAAAATTTCACACTAGACACTTTAAATAATGTAGTCATCGACCTTAATCCCTAGAACATGCTTAATACCTCTGTTGAATTACCAAAGTTCAAATCAATTGTAAGCTCTATTTGCTGAAAATTTTAGCCAAAATCTCCCGATGACAATCTCGACTACAAAAGCAAATTTTTAACAATGGATAAATCTCAGAGGTAAATTTGTATAATAAAGAACAGGATGCATACAAAGGGATCTCGGGCAAAGAGTTCAATGGAAGCATCTAAGCTCCGTCGGAAACATTTTGGTACAGGAGGCAATTTAAAAGGTACTCCTCCAACTACTCCTCTAGCTTTCCTAAAATAACGGGTCTAAGATAGTCAGTGAGTGAAAGAGCATCCTCTCAGACCTAGAAACCACCCAAGAAGTCATCAATAAAAGCCCTATACTGTACCTTTACTCCCATTATTCCCTAGAAAACTTCATAGTACAAGTCAATGAGTAGAATCTTGGAATAAGAGTAAAAGAAATCTGGAATTCATGAAGAAGATCAAGAAATACCCAGCTAAATAAGAAGAAAGGCAGATTTTACCAGAAATCCCATGTATATCAGTCTCTAAGTTTTAGATTTTCCCAAAGAAATTAATAAATTCACAAGATTATCGAACATTTTGAGGTATATTTATGAGTCTAATTCGTAGCTAACTCGTTTGAAGAAGACCTTAAGCGACTAAATGCAAATCCTTTTGAAGTTTGCCAGATAAGAGTCAAAGAGAGGAATGAGAATGACTATTTGATCCTCAAAGGCTGGCTTAAGCAGCTTCACTTTTTCAGGAAATATCCTGCCCTTATTATTGACAAATTATGAGACAAACTTGAACCAGTTTATTATCCAAAGGGTGATGTAATCATGGACATTGGAGAAAGCGTAAGTTTTAGAATGCTCATCATATAAGAGCACTTTCATGGTGATCATATTCTCTGGCAAAATCGGCATATATTTGAAACCTTCAAAGGACATTAAGAAATTAAAATCAAAGATTAGGTAAATTTTATTTTAAATCTTTAGTTTTGTTGCTGTCAAAACTTCTGGTGACGTAGTTGGGGATAGTGGGTTACTAAAAACTGCTTGAAGAAGTGCCTCCTGAATAGCTCTAACAGATATTCAAGCTCTTTACCTTTCAGCAACTGATTATTCCAATACAGTGAAAGATTTCCACAAAAACGAATTATTGGAAAATATCGCTTTCACTCACAACCTTTCGTACTTCAACAAGCTAACACACGATGAGAAGACTAACCTTGCTATGCGCTTCAACTCCCATATTTATCATAAGTATGAAACTTTCTAACCTAAAAAGATCTGGCTAATAACTCTAGCACAGAACAACCCAAGTTTTAAGACCTAATACTTATTCCTCAATATAGAAAAGGCTCAATCATAATGAACGCTGGTGACAAAGTCCAACAGCTCTACATACTAAAAGAAGGGCTCCTCAAAGTTGAGAAACAGCTAAAGATCCTTGAAAAGAACAGGTGGCCAATTAAGGATTCTTATCAAGAGCTCATTTGCAGCACTACGTATGGATATGATTATTTATACTATTTAGAAAGTTTGAGACTATTTAGAGGCCACACTAATCCTCTTATCAGAGGCCAAATGTTCGGTCTCTATGAGATTCAGAAGAATATACCTATGAGTTGAAGGATCACCGTTCTTTCAGAGACAGCCAAGATACTGACTATTAATAAAGGAGATTTATTGGCAGTGCTCAGAGAAGCTGAGGTATTTTTATTGTTTAAAACCAACTATATCTACACTTTTTTGTGCTGTAAACTGATTACAAATTAATTTAGTATCTGTAAACATATAAATTTTCTTCAAATACATCAATACATTTTAAGTGGAAGATAAAATACTATCATCTCTCTATTCTACCTCCATAAACAAAATAACTTAGGTAAAAAAGCAAAGTAAAATACGATCATTATAATCAACCATGCTTCGACTCTAAAACCCTCACCACTCTGCAGTCCACCACTCTCTGAAAACCTCACAACACATTCTAAACTAAACAGCTTCTGGAGTTCCCCCAATTGCATAAAATTCAGTTCTCAAAAAGAAGTGATGAAGACTGTAATGGAACGAATAATTGACCAAAAGAAGTTAAAGAAGGCCAAGTTAAGAATCCAACAGCTAATTACTCAATAAATTAATATTTCAATTCTGACCAACCCCAATGGGGTTTTGGGGTTTTGGGGTTTTGGGGTTTTGGGG